ATAGAGTATCTTAGCTGGTGTGTGGGGCAAGTATATCCACTCCAAGCATTTTCTAACCTTGCCTGCTTTTTGAAAGACTACAACAGTCGGACTTTTAGGTGTGTTTATCACATAAAGGCATAAGGGAATTTCTGGATCAAAGCGATTTAAAAATTGGGAGATCAGAGCCTTGTTTACTAGGCTTACTTCTTGTTTTGTCTCAGGGATAAGAGTGCGCGTAGAAGAGGGGGAAGAGTCACCATGTAGCACGGAAAACAAGTGACTCAGAGAATGTGTCGGGATGCCAAGAAAAGGACGTATCCAATTGATATTTCCTAAAAGCTGTTGCAATGTAACTAACGTTAAAGTATTGGGTATGGAAATAGAGGGAATGCATGGCTTTACCAGGTGTCTATCAATCATTAATCCTAGAAATTTCCAGGGGGAGGTAAACTGTACCTTATCTTGAGCCATAAGCAGGCCTTTGCCTTTTAGCAATTCAATTAATTGTTGGTATGCTGTTAACGAAAAATTTTTAGTTGGTGCTGCTAATAAAATATCATCCATATAATGGTAAAGTTGTATAGTAGGGTATTTGCTTCGAAAAGTTAGTAAGACATATCCTACTAATTGTTGGCATATGGTAGGACTGTTTTTCATGCCCTGAGGCAAGACCTTCCACTGATATCTCTGGGGGACCTCTTGATTGTTATAAACTGGGACAGTGAATGCGAGCTTTTCCCTATCAGCAGCGCACAAAGGTAGAGAAAAGAAACAGTCTCTAATGTCAATAACAACAATTTGCCAATTCTCAGGTATTAAAGAAGGGTTTGGCAATCCCTTCTGTGAAGCCCCCATAGGTTGCATGACAGCATTAATTGCCCTTAAGTCCTGGAGTAATCTCCATTTTTCAGATTTCTTTTTTATCACAAATACTGGGGTGTTTGAGGGTGCAATATGGCCTAATTTTAGTTGCTCCTGTACTAGCATCTTTAAAGCCTGTAATTTTTCTTTTGGAAGGGGCCACTGATCTATCCATACAGGCGTGGCAGTTTTCCATTGAATAGGTATGGGAGGAATGTTAATAACATCAGCAGCCCCCAGGAAAAAGGCTTAACGTTTAGAGATAGTTGCCACTGAGAAAGCAAATCTCACCCCTGTTGAGGAAAATAATCCATAACCAATCTACAAATGAAAATTTGGGTGAGTTTATTCTGAGCTTAAATCTGAGCATTATAACCCGGGAGAGTCTTTCCACAAAGGAACAGAGCACTCCAAAGAAGTGGGGGTACACAGGGTGGTTATATACCCTCAAAGAATATGTTTCATATATGATTGAAATGTCCCTTTTACAATAGTCACAAGGCTGCTCTGTCAGCACAGCCATTGATGGAAACGGCAGATAGGTCTGCTGTTTCAGTGAACCCTGCAGGCTGGCAGGTCTGTTGCCTCGAGCTGGGCGGTCACGGATGAGCGCTACAGTCAGTTCCCAGCCTAAAGAAAGATGCTTAATCTTTAAGGAGATGCCAACGTTGGGAGGGGGAGGGAAGTTGCACCTTTATCTCAAAATGTCTAAGCAGATATACAATGCATGCTCAATGGCCACAGTCAGGCCCTTTTGGAAAAACAAAGTCAGGCCGAATTAGGTTTATGCCAAATGGCTTCCTCATATACTCCAATATATCCTATTGCTTGCCATTTTTATTTGTCACCCCCATAGGGAGTATGGAGTTGGAAGAACGTAGGGTGTAATTAAGGCAATTCTGTTTTCAGGTCCTCTGACTTTTAGTACTTGATCATTTCCCTCAGGCATCATAAGCCCCCCTACACCTTGTACAGATGCAGAGGTTTGCTTTTTAGGCCAATGGGGAGGCCAAGTGGGCGAGGCTATAAAGCACCGTCGCCAGTGTGGCTGAAGGCACTGGCGCCCCTCTTGGCAGCAGAGCTTCCCAAACTTCGTTTTTCGGGGCACTGGGGAGTGTGCCCCGTTTCGAGTTTCCCGACACCGAGTCACGGTTGATTAGATTACCATCTGCATTAATTTTAGAGCAACATTGATTCACCCAATGGAATCCCCTTCAGCACTGAGGACATGGTTTAGAAGGCAGCTTTTTAATATCGGCTGGCCCTCCTTTACCAGTGATATCTTTTGGACCGTACTTGCATTGTTTTGCACGGTGTCCAGGTTTTCCGCACTTAAAACAGGCATTATCAAAAAGCACCTTTGGGCAGCTGCGAAAACGCTGCTGCCATTACTTTGGCCACATGACTATGAGTTCCTACTTCCTGACACGCTCCAGCATATCCCCTAAGGTGTGAGTTCGCCTTTTAAGGTGAGACATAGCAGACTGGCAATCAGCATTAGCATTTTCAAAGGCTATTTTCAACAGGATAATTTGAGCTGCTTCAGGATGAGCTATTTGCCTCTCAATTGCCTGCTGGAGACGGTCAATAAATTCTATGTTTGGCCCTTGTCTGACATTCACAAAGGAATTGGTGGCTTTGTCTGCCCCTGAAGGGGGAGTTGCCTTCCAGGCTGCTAATGCCACCTCTGAACATTGTCTATGCAATATTCCATTTGCCTCAGCCTGTGCTTGAGGCGTCGCATATTGGCCAACCCCCTGTAGCATGTCGGCACTGATTGGGAGAGGGGGGTTTAAAGATAGATTATCCATAGATCGGGATACAGATATCTCATTATACTCAGACCTGAAAAGAGTATATTCAGCATGCAACAAAAGAGTCTTTGCGAGCAAAAGCCAATCACAGGGTAGCAGACGATAACTGGCTCCCAGTGCCTCTATCATCCCGACAGTGAAAGGTGACTGCACTCCATTCTCTCTAATGCTCTTTTTCAGCTCCTTAAACACCCCAAAAAGAAGGGATTCATGTTCTCTTCACCCATGATTGACCATCACGGGGAAGGCACAGGAAAAAACATCAGGATCTCCACGATTTAATCCTTCCCGAAGGCAATTATGAACCACACTATACTGCCCGGAATCAACATACGGGGCGGGTGGAGCACACGGAGGAGCATCAGGCAAGACAGGAGGGTTCTTGAAGGCGAAATGCCTCTCTAAAAGAGGGGGGAATGGTAAATCATCATCGTCTGAGGACGTTTGTTCAAAATTTGTCTGAGACTTACTAACAGCCTTTTTAAAAGAGTCTCTTGGCGGCGAGCAAGGCAGAGCAGACAGTGGTGGCGCCTCCTCAGCTTTGCCTGAAGGGCGCTCGGGTGAAAGAGGCCGAGTTTTCCTCATCCGATAGATCCCACAAAAGGAACAGTGCAGTACGTACTGTTCCCCAAGTCGTTAAGATATGTACATCCTTTAAAAGACCATGCTCAAAGCGAGACTTTAGTGCCTTGCCAGCCCTTTCCCACAGCTCAATGTCCAAGGTGCCATCCTCAGGGAACCAGGGGCAATGTGTAGATATTGCAATATCCTCTGTAACTCGGCGGGAGAAACCGAGACTGAAATCGAGGCGTGAGCAGGGGACAAGTAAGGTATTAACATCAACTGAGCTATCCTCGTAAAAGTTCTATCACATAATAACTAGATAAACGGAGCATGATTTTTATTTCACCTTGATAGTCAGCATCAATTACCCCGGGAATGATGTTTAAGCCCTTCAAAGCTGAGCTAGAGCGTCCCATTAAAAGCCCAAAATATCCTGATTGTAAAGGTCCCCATACATTGGTAGGAACAAGAAAGGTTTCATCAACACAATCTATGACGACTGTCTCTGAAGCCTGAGATCCACTCCGGCACTTCCTGACGAGGCCGCCACTAAATCATTCACATAGAGTCGGCCTGCTGATTGAGAGCTCCCCAAATGTGGTTTTTCGGGGCGCTGGGGAGTGTGCCCTGTTTCGAGTTTCCCGACGCCAAGTCACGGTTGCTTAGAGATATTGCCAGCAATATCCTCTGTGACTCGGAGGGAGAAACCAAAACTGAAATCGCCTTCAGCAGCCGCTGAAGTGTCTTAAAGTATAATTTCTGCTGAATTGCCAATTGTTGGCCCATCATTCTCATGGCGGGCCGCCGAAAGGCGGTTGAAATTCCCCCATATCGTTACTCACCAATAATGCCGCCGATCTTGGATCACGTCGGGGTCACCATACGTCGGTGTCGCAATCCAATGTACACATCAGGATAGATGCGGAGAGGGCTGATGGCCACTCTGAGTTTATTATAACCAGCGTTTCAATATATACATAGCTCACATCTGTTAAACATACACAGGTGTTCTGAATGAAGTAATTAGCGAATGCCAAGGATTCTTAGCGATTTCTCAAGGAGCCCTCCCTTGGCCTCTGTTTTGATATTATCATGTTATTGCTGTGCTCCTATATTTTTATCTGGGAGCAGGCAAGGTCTCTTAGGCAACGGTCCCTCCTGCTCCCGATATCGATATCATTTCTCCATCTGTGCCCCCGGGTAGCCGCCACCTGGCTTACGTTGCACCCCCCCGCCCCACCCCCCTCCCCGAGGTCTTACCCGTCATTGGCTACCCGGCCTTCTCACCTCCAGGTCACAGTTTGTTGGCAAGCCTTTTCCAGTGATTATTAACCCTTCCTGTGTCAGGGGCGGCTACAGTGAACCTGCCAACGCCGGACTTCAGCATGCCCTACAATGTCATCTGCCTTGCATGCATGGTGGTGGCCGTGTGCTGTGGCTCCTTCTACAACCTCCTCACCCGAAGCTTCCACATCGAGGAGCCCAGCAAGGGCGGCTTGGCCAAGCGACTGGCTAACCTCATCCGGCGCGCCCGTGGCGTCCCCCCGCTCTGAGACTCACCCTCTTCACAGTGGGGTGACTGTTTCTCTCTGGGAAGGGATAGTGGCAACCCCAATGGCTCTTTCCGCCACTTGCTATCCCCAGAGTCGGCTTTTGAACCAAACTGCCCCTGGACTAGGCCAGGGCCTAGAGCTGCGCTGTCTGTGCAGTAGCCACAAGCCAAATGTGGCATTTGAATTTAAATTAATTTAAGTTAAAAGTCCATTTCCTCAGCTGAACTAGCCACATTGAAAGTGCTCAGTAATGAAAAGTGATTCGTGGCTACTGTGTTGGACAGTGCGGACAATGGTTTCCGTCACTGCAGAAGGTTCTGTTGGACAGCGCGGGCCTAGGTAACAGGGTGTGCTGAAGAATTCGTATCACTGTGTAGTAGCTGGAATTTACTGTTGTGGAATAAAAAGTGGCTGCTTCCTGGGTTCTTTGCCTGCTGTCCTTGAAGGGCTGGGAAGAGCTGGGGACTAGGGCTTGTTTGCTGGGTGCCTGAATAGGACCTCCTACATCCTCTGCCTGCAAAACACCCCAAACAAACAAACTCCCCTACCTCCTCCCACTCCTGCCAGAAATTCCTTCTCCTCATCTCCGGCTCCCCCTCCCCCACCCCCACCCTCGTCTGACTGTAATTCCCAGAACTCCCTGGGTTTAGAAGTGTTTATGTAGGCATAATCCATGACCATGAACGTGAAGCATGTCCCGCCTTTCAGGGGCCCTGTCACCAAGGGTAAAGCTGGAGAGACAGAAGAGCGAGGAGTGGTGTTCTGACCAGTCTGTGCATCAGATTATTTGGGACTCTTGTGGAAATACTACAGATTCCTGGGGTCCAGAGCCTATGAATTCAGGTGGTCTGGGTGTAGCCCAGCCTTTGAATTGTTATCAGGCTCCTCAGGAGCTCACGTTGTGGGTGATCCTTAGGCCACCCGCAGGCTTTGGAGCCAGGCTCATTGGATTGAAGCCTGCCCCTGCCCACCTGCCCTTCCGGTTATATAACCCTGGGTTCCTGTTAAACTGGTCCTTAGGTAGATGCCTGCCCCAGCCCCTACCTTCTGTCTCTTCCTCTGGCACGCTTGGCATCAGCTGTCCAGGTTGATGGCCAGCCCTGTGCCTCTCCCACTTTGTACATCCGTTGGTTTGGCTTAGGATGCCCTGTTCCACCAACCACACACGCTCCACACACATCAGCTGCCTGGTTATTCTTACTTACATAGCCGGGTGAGATGTTTCCTCTAGGAAATCTCCCGTGATAGCAGGCTGCTGTAGATGCCCCTCCATCTGCTCCCACAGCTGCCTGGATTTACCTTTACATGCTCCTTATCACCCTGGCTGTTACTGTCCTTTAACTTCCACTGGACTCTGAGCTTCCTTGAGGCTCAGGGGCTGTCTCCCGTCTGGACCTGACCCAGCTCAGGACGTGTAGGTTCTCACTCAGCAGATGTAAATGTGTGAACGGGTATGGGCTGTTCTGGCTTGGGATCTGGGGTGTGGGGTAGGAAGGGGGAGGGCGAGGGGCACTCTAGAAACCCACAAATAGGAATGCAACAGTCTTTAACACAGTGTACTGCTGAGGTTTGTACAGCCAGCAGAGATGGGGCTTTTCGTGTTGCCTCTGCGAACATACAAGTGATGTGTGTGTATGTCTATGTGCATCGGAAGGGAAGTGGTGAGCTAGTCTAGACCATGGGCAAAAGCAACTTGGTCAAGAGACGTTTACTTGAGTTTACTTCCAAAGCAGTGAATAAGCAGGGTGTAAGTGAGATAAGGACTCGGGGCGGGTGGGGGAGGTATCTGAAGCTGGGTGTTCTTGGCAGCCTTGGTGGAGCTGGATGCCTGCCAAGGCAGAAGAGCGTGGAGTTGTGGCCTGGCTGTCCCTTATATACCCCCAGGCAAGTGAGTACCTAGAAACAGCCTCCACTGCCATGTCATAGGTAATCTGTGCACTGACAACACCCACATATCTCTACTCTAGACCTCCTCCCTGAATTTCAGACTCACTTACCCAACTGCCTGCTCGCCATCTCCACTTGATGTCTGAAGGCATCTCAAATTTAATACCTCCAAAACCGAGCTTCTGATATTCTCCACCCCCACCCCAAACATGCACATCTGTGGTTGGCTTATCCCTGTTAATGGCGCCTCTCATCCTTCCAGTTGCCCAGGCCAAAAATCTTGGAGTCATCCTTGATTCTTCTGTCTCACACCCGTCAGCAAATCTGTGTGCTCTACCCTCAAAGACAATCCAGAGTCCAACTCCTTTTCACCACTTCCACCATCGAGTTTTCGGTCAGGTCTTCCTGGCCATCCCTATTTTAAATTGCTACCCAGCTACAAGCTCGCTCCTTTCCCACTTCGTTTTCCTCTGTAGCTCTTACCACCATCTAACATACTGCATGTCTTAGTTTTCTTGTTTATTAGTTATTAAACTCCATGGGGCCATGATATTTGTCTTTTGTAGCTGCAGGGTCTGGAACGGTGCCTGGTATGTAGTTTGAGTTCCAGTAATTGCTGAATGAATGAATGAATGAATGAATGAATCTATGAATATCACATAGCAATTTTGCTGCTGAGCAAGTCGGGTCACGCAAACATCTGGGTTCTGAGCCTTGGAATTCTTGCTGTGCCAGCACTGGGACAATCTTCCCTTACCCCTGCGCAGTGTCTGGGCATTTCCATTTATGCTCATTTGGTGGTTCTCCCAGGGTAGGCCTGGCCATGGCCTTCTCCAAGAAGGTCAGCACAAAGCAGCGGCCTCTGGGGAGAAGGGTCAGAGGCACTGAAGGCCAGGTCGGTCAGGCCCCCAGAGCACTGTGATGTGAGCTCTCTCCACACGGCTGGGGCTGTCTGGTGGAGCTGCTCTGGGGATAGCGCTCAAGGGAAAAAGGGAACTTCTGGCCTCTGAGGGCTCCCCGGGGAAAAGAACCCCGAGTGAGTAGACGAAGGGGACTTGCGGGAGTGGAGCTGCCGGCAGAAGAACTAGTCTCCTGGTATCTTCCCTCAACACCTGGCACAGTTCCTTGTAACCAACGCTATTCCATTTGCCGGACAGAAGCACCAACACTCAGTCACCGCAGACCTACCACGACACTTCCAGGACATGGCAGTGGCCCATCGTCTCTAAACAAGGCTTGGAGAGAGAGAGCTGGCTTGAAGGTCAGACCGGCTTGGCAACAGCTGCCCCTGGGATCCACCTGCCAGGTGCTCTTCTAAGGCTCCGGGGGGGCGGTGGGGGAGCAGGGGAAGCAGGACACCCAGAACCTGGCCCCTCCCTACCCCCAATAACCAGGACCTGAGGAGATGGCCTGGCCTCAGCCTTCTCTATCTGCACGGGGACAAGGATGGTTGTTAATGCATTGAGAACTGGGTGACGGGTGGAGCCCCTGCCCTGGGAAGGAGTGCTGCACATAGGAAGAAAGAGGCAAAGTCCATCAGCCTTAGACTTCCCAGCTTCCCTGCCTCTGCCTGTGCGCCTTCCGTTAAGGCCTTGCTGACTCTGTCCCTGAGCTAGATCTCCTTCCATGGAGCCTTTCCTGACCTTTCCCGCTCCTACAGTGATCCCCTCTCCAGCTGAGCTCATAGAGTCATTCATTTGTTCATTTATTCATTCATTCACCCTCTGACCCATCTTTCCATCACTTCTTCCATTCATCCACTCATTCAACAAGTATTTATCTACTATCTCTCATGTGCCAAGCACTGATCTGGGCACTGGGGACACAGCAGTGAACAAGAAAGGGAATCCCTCCCCTCCGGGGGCTTACAGTGCAGCGGGGGAGACAGACAACAAAAGCCTAGATGCGTTAACAAATAGATAGTGTAATTTCCCTGCACTCGGTCTGGGCGTTTCCATCTATGCTCATTTGGTAGTGCTCTGTTCCTTCAAGAAAAGTAAAGCCGAGTGAACATGAGAGGGATGATCAAGGCCCCTGAGGAGGTGATGAATGAGCCGGGACCTGACCAAGTGAAGGAGAAAATCCTGAAATCCTAGGGAAGAGCATTCTAGTCAGAAGGAACAGAAGTGCAAAGACTGCAGCAGGAACATAACTTCTGTGTGTGCAAAACAAGAGGAGTCTGGGTAGCTGGACTTGAGGGAGGGGGGAAGGGAGGTGGGGGTGAGTTTGGAGAAGGTGACAGGGGCAGATGGAAGAGGCCCCCGCAGGCAAGGCCTCTGGGTTTTATTCCACACGTGGTGGGAGCTAAGGAGTAGCGCCCTCTGATTCACAGGTATTTGTTTCTGTACTTTTTTGTCCTCCTGGTGCACAGAATTGGGTGGCTAATTCTTGCTTCATACTCACATCCTTGGTCCATGCGTGCTCCTTTTTCAGGATTATTTCTATGTGTATGCGTGTATTTCAGCGCAGTAAGCACCCGTGAACCTACCATCCAACAGGAAAACTAGCACCTTGATAGTAACTTGGTGTTTAAAAGGCCACTCTGGCTGCTGTGTGGAGAGTAGCCTGTAGGAGGTAACCGGCCAGTAAGGAGGAGAGAGAGTCATCAAGAAGAGGGGCCTGGGGTGGTAGAGGTAGAGGTGGTGAGAAATTGACTGAGTTTGGGATGAATTTTGGAGGTAGAGCCCCCAAGACTCACTGTTGGATCACGTGACTATGGACCATGCATTCAAGGATGAATTCACTAATTATTAATTCAGTGCTTGCTGGTAAGTGCTTACTATATGTTAAGTCCTTTGCACGATCTACCTTTGACATGGTCCTTGCCCTACTCACAGCCTAGAGGTAGAGAGAGAGAAACACATACGTCAAATCAATTGGAATAAGTGCTGTGACCCAGTGAATCCAGGGAACGGTTCATTCGTTTTTCTGGGAGAAAAGAAAATAATGGTTAGTTATGACTTGGCTCATCGCAAGGGCTTAGTTCTTCTTATCTCATCTCTTGAATTGATCTGAGCTACTGATTAAACTCTTTAGTGTGTGTAAGTGTATTTTTCTACTTTAAAAGAAATATCTTTAATAGTCATATTTTTAAAACTGTATAAACTTCAGCGTACGCAAAGTATTTCAAATATCGGTCAAAGGCTATCCTCATTGAACCTTCCAGAGCTCAATCTCTGGGTAACAGTTAAGAATATGAAAGGGAGTGGGGAAATAAAGGGAAAAACATTCCCTTTCTCTCAAATATGCATGTATTCATGTCCATTTAATTGAAGCATTTCAAGCCTTGGGAACAGCCCAAGGTCTAGATTCCATTCAACTTTGGATCCCACCTTGAGCCTAGGGCAAGGCTGGCTACCCAGCACATTCTTCCTGACATGATTTCCTATGATCTAGATTGGCTCCTGGCCCACCAGAGGGGATCTCAGGACATCCAAAGTGGGTGAGGAGTGGGAAAGGCACCAGGAGTAAATTTAACCAAGGAGGTGAAGGACTTACACAATGAAAACTATAAGACATTACTGAAAGAAATAGATGATGACATAAAGAAATGGAAAGAGATTCCATGCACATGGATTGGAAGAATAAACATAGTTAAAATGTCCATCCATACTACCCAAAGCAATCTACAGATACAATGCAATCCCAATCAGAATCCCAATGACGTTCTTCAAGGAAATAGAACAGAATCCTAAAATTCACATGGGGCAACCAAAGACCCTGAATAGCTAAAGCAATCCTGAGAAAAAAGAACAAAGCTGAAGGCATCACAATCCTTGACTTCAAAATGTACTACAAAGCCATAGTGATCAAAACAGCATGGTACTGGTGCAAAAACAGACACACAGATCAATGGAACAGAACTGAAAGCCCAGAAATAAAACTGCACATCTATGGACAGCTAATCTTCTACAAAGTACTAAGGACATACAATGGAGAAAAAGATACTCTCTTCAATGAATGGTTTTGGGAAATCTGGAAAACCACTTGTCCAGAATGAAAGCAGACCATCATCTCACACCATACACAAAAATAAACTCAAAATGTATCAAAGACTTGAAGGTAAGACCTGAAACCGTAAAACTTCTGGAAGAAAATATAGGTAGTACACTCTTTGACGTCGAACTTAAAAGGATCTTTTCAAATACCATGTCTTCTCAGACAAGGGAAACAAAAGAAAAGGTAAACAAGTGGGATTTCATCAGACTAAAGAGCTTCTGCAAGGCAAAGGAAACTAGGATCAAGACAAAAAGACAGCCCACAAATTGGGAGAAAATATTTGCAAATCATATATCCAACAAGGAGTTCACCTCCACAATATATCAAGAACTCACACAACTGAACAACAAAAAAACAAACAGCCTGATCAGAAAACGGGCAGAGGAGATGAGCAGACCTTTCTCCAAAGAAGATATACAGATGGCCAGTAGGCACACAAAAAGATGTTCAACATCGCTATCATCAGGGAAATGCAAATCAAAACTGCATTAAGATACCATCTTACACCTGTTAAAATGGCTATACTCACTAAGACTAAAAATAGCGAAAGTTGGGAAGGGCATGGAGAGAAGGGAACCCTCATACACTGCTGGTGGAAATGCAAACTGGTGCAGCCACTATGGAAAACAGTATGGAGATCCCTCAAAAAACTGAAAATAGAAATATCATATGACCCAGTTATTGCACTACTGGGTTTCTATTCAAACAACTTGAAATCAACAATCCAAAGTGACCTATGTACCCCTATGTTCATTGCAGCACTATTCACAATAACCAAGACATGGAAGCAACCCAAGTGCCCACTGACTGATGATTAGATAAAGAAGATGTGGTATATATATATATATATATGTGGCATATATATATACACCCACTGGAATGCTATTCAGCTGAAAAAAAGAAGACAAAATCATCCCATTTGCAACAACATGGATGGACCTAGAGGGTATTATGTTAAGTGAAATAAGACAGACTGAGAAAGATAAACACCATATGATTTCACTCATATGTGGAATATAAACAAACACATGGACAAAGAGAAAAGTTCAGTGGTTACCAGGAGAAGGGGGAGGGGTGGGCACAGGGCATGAAGGCGAGCACTTATGAGGTAACAGACAAGAAATAATGTACAAGTAAAATTTCACCATGATGTAAACTAATAGAACTCAAAAAAATTTTTTAATTAAAATTTTTAAAAAAGAATAAAAGAGGGGCTGGCTGGTGGCGTAGTGGTTAAGTCCGCACGCTCTGCTTCGGCACCCTGGGGTTCACAGGTTCGGATCCCGGGTGTGGACCTATGCATCACTCATCAAGCCATGCTGAGATGGCATCCCACATACAAAACAAAGAGGAAGATTGGCAACAGATGTTAGCTCAGGGCCAGTCTTCCTCACCAATAAAAAAAAAGGGCAAAAGATCTAAACAGATATTTTTCCAAAGGAGATATACAGATGGCCAACAGGCACATGAAAAGATGTTCAACATCACTAACTATTAGGGAAATGCAAATCAAAACTGTAATGAGATATCACATCACGCCTGTCAGAATGGCTATAATTAACAAGACAAGAAATAACAAGTGTTGGAGAGGATGTGGAGAAAAGGGAATTCTCATACACTGCTGGGGGAGAGCAAACTGATGCAGCCACTACAGAAAACAGTACAGAGATTCCTCAAAAAATTCAGAATAGAACTACCATACAATCCAGGTATTCCACTGCTGGGTATTTACCCAAAGTGAAAACACGAATGTGTAAAGATATGTGCACCCCTATGTTCACTGCAGCATTATTCACAATAGCCAAGACTTGGAAGCAACCTAGTTGCCCATCGAGGGATGAATGGATGAAGCAAATGTGGTATATATACACAATGGAACAATGGAACACTACTCAGCTAAAAAAAGAGGAAATCTTGCCATGTGCAACAGCATGGATGGACCTTGAGGGTATTATGTTAAGAGAAATAAGTCAGAGGGAGAAAGTCAAATATAGACTGATCTCACTCATAAGTAGAAGATAAAAACAACAACAAACACACAGAGACAGAGATTGGATTGGTGGTCACCAGAGGGGAAGGGGGGAGGGAGGAGGGCAGAAGGGGTGATTAGGCACATGTGTGTGGTGATGGATTGTGATTAGTCTTTGGGTGGTGAACATGATGTAATCTATCCAGAAATCGAACTATAATGGCGTACACCTGTAATTTATATAACAGTATACAGTATAAACCCACGTTACCTCAATTTAAAAAAAAAAAAAAGGAAGGAAGAAAAGACTAGTTAAGAGCCTGAGATTTGGAGTCAGGAAGATCTGGTTTGAATCGTAACTCTACTACTTCCTAGCTTTGTGACCTTGGACAAGTTATTTAAACTTTCTGAGCCTCAGTTTCTTCATTTATTACATGAAGATAATACTTGTAGCCTCATAAGGTCAATATGAATTAAGAGATCATTTTGTGGCAAAGCAATCAAGACAGTGCCAATATTTAATCAATAGCTGTTGTCAAAATGCCCTGTAGGTGCCCTGGGCTCTACCTACCTGGCCCTGCTTCATCCCACTGGGCTCCCATGATGTCATCTACCTTCATGTTCAAACAGCCTCACGTTGTACACCAAAGACACTTTGTGCACGCACTTCCCACCGGTTCACGATGCCTAAAACTATGCTGTCCTTGTTTTGTAAAGTTGGGTGTTGTGGTTTCTCTGCCTGGTCTCCACAGGGAGAGAGACAGTAAAGACAGTCCCAGTTATCTACTCAAAAGCCATTCCCCTTTCTTCCTTGCTAAGAAAGCAAGCTTGATTTTGTGTGTGCCAACAAATACTCTCCTAAAAATACTGATTAAATATATATGTGAGAAATATTTTAGCATGAGGCTGTCTCTGTGATCTCAGGATGGGGATCAATAACAAATACTTTGTACTTTAATAGTAAATTAAGCAACAATCAAACAGGAAATTCTAGGAAACTGACAAGTGATTCCAGATGAAATCTGATAATGAGATAAAGAGCAAATACCAAAAGACAGAGTCATACAGATAGAAAAAAAAAAAATCCATGATGTAAAGTATTTGAAAGAAAGAAGGAAAGAAAGAAGGAAACCCCCCATCCCTCCCTACATCCCTTCCCCAGGTTTTATCTACTCTCATCTTGGGTTTTATCCAATCTCATCTTCTGTGCATTCCTGAGAGGTGAGCAGGGCAGATTTTATGCCCACTTTAGAGAGAAGAAAACTAAGGCTGAACGGGCATCCTAAATTCAGGCAGTGCAACACAGGTCCTGCAGGGATGGCCAGTCCTCCAGGAATGAGTGTGGAAGGCTCCACAGAACCGCCCGGCCTGAACTAGCCCCTCTTCGCTCTGTACTCCACCTGATTTTCTTCACAGCAGTTGAGACTATCTGAAACTGCTCCTGCTCATTAGTGTTCACTGGTGCATTCCCTCCAGCTAGAATGCCAGTTCCAGGAGAGTGAGGAGCTCGTGTGCTGTTCACTGCTGTGACCCAGAGCTTCGAACAGTGCCTGGCACGCACATGATAGGCATCAGTGATGGCAAGGTTGTTGATCCTTCTGGAGTGCAGGCAGTATTCTAAAGTTTTACCTGGATGAGCCCCCTTGGGCCTCACTCACAACCAAAGAAGTTATCATCACTCCCATTTTGCAGACGAGTCAGACAACAACAGAGAAGTAAAGTGATTTGCTCACCTGGAGATCAAATTGGCAGAGCCAGAGTCTGGAGCCATAGAGTCTGTTTTGAGCTTTCAGTCACCACATTAACTCTCCCTAATAAACGTTTGCTGAACGAGTAAATGGAGGAATCAATCTACTCAACATCTTTGTCTAAATGTGCTACAGGCACCACGGACTCAACATTTACGAAACAGAACTCGTCCTTTCTCCAAAGACTTGCTTCTCCTCCACCCTCCAGGAGGCTGGTTCTTCCTCTTCCTCATACCCCTGAGCAATCTCTTAGGAAAGCCTGTTGATTGGACCTCCTCACTATCACGCCACTGCTCTCTGCTAATCCAGGACACTCTCTTCTCCCATCTACACAATTCTCATGACCTCCGCTGTTGCAGGCCCTGCCCCTCCTCTCTATCCCTCCCCTACATTCTCCCAAGATGTCCAGGTCCTTCTTTTGCCCTTCAGAAAAAGCCAAAAACTCTTAGCTTGTCTCCCAAGGCCGCTCAGGTCTGCGCCCAACTTCACCCAGCACCATCTAGTCCCCTCTTCCAACTCACTCTCACAGACCCTCTTCTTTTCCCTAAACCATCTTTTGCTTTTCCACCTACTTAGAACGCTCTTCCCCGACTTTCCTCTCAGTAACTCTTGCTCCTCCCTCAGATCTCAGCTAAAAGTTCACTTCCTCAGGGTGTCCTTCCCATCCACCACAGCCACCGCCTCCACACTAAGCCAGGCCCCTGCTAACTCTCCCATCACACCCGCACTCCCCCTTCACCAACAGTCGCCATATTCATTATTAGTCACTTGTTTAATATCTCACGAATTTCCTGCTAGAAAGTAAACTCTAAGAGAGCAAAGATTGTGTCTGTCCTGTGTACTACAGATGCCCAGTAAGTATTTCATATTAAATACTCATGTTAATTTGTGAATTATAAACTCACTTTCCACACACACACACACACACACACACACACACACACGTCTTTTACAAAGCAGGTACCCAAAGAGTTAATTTTCACATGAAACAGGAGCTGTGTGCTAGTTCAGATGGAGGTCATACTTCTTCCTGGGGCCACCAGGGGGCAGGCAGTGTCTTCCTTAAAGACTGGTTCCTAAGAGGATCTTTGGTCTAAAGAGAACCAGCAGTAGACCCCACCTCCTACCCACAGTTTTGAGAGACCAGAGGGTCAAACAAAGGGTGGGGGACTGGACCTGGGTGAGGCCCATCACTGAAGCAAGAGGGCTTACATCAGCCCTGAGGAACACTGGGACCCGTCTGGAAGAGAGACTGTGGCACTCCTTGGACACAGGGGACTTCCCAGGGGTGAACTTCTGGGAGGTGACATTACAAAAAAAGAAATTCATTCCTTTCTTTAATGCAGTAGCCCTCACACTAAAAAAGCAGTCAGGAACCAAGGAAATGAAAAATCTATGTGCTTTAGACAAGTTGCTTTGGTCTACGGTGTTCAAAGCACTTCAGCGCCATAATCAACAAAGTGCTCAAAAATACCCAAACCTGTGAATTTCTTAAGGCAGATACCATCGCCCTGTTTTACAAAGAAGGAAACTGGCTCAGATAGGTGAAGCGACTTGTCCAAGATCGCATAGGAACGTCCAGAGCTGCTGAAGCCAAACTCTTCTCATTAGTACCAAGTCCTTTTCCATTACACTGTTGTTAATTAATAATTATTAATAATAAATAAATAAGTTTACTCTTATTTATGAATAGTATTACTATTACTGTTATCAGAGCTACCATTCGTTGAGGGGTTACTCTGCCAGGCACTTACTTGTACAAAGCATTTTACAAATATTGTATCATTTTAATGCTCACCATAAATCTATGAGTTGATATGAGAAAGAGAAAAGCGGGCCCTACTTCCGAGAGCTGACTGGACACTCACAGTTGGCCTGTGATGTTCTTCCTCCCGACATAAACAATTTCATGGAACAGCAACATCAGACACAGTCGTTCTGTGCCCAGGAGGGATCAAGACAAAAACACAACCCTCTGTAATCACGTCTGAACACAGACAAAACATGAGCCTCATGCAAGCCACAGAAACGACCAAGCCCTCCCCTGTCCTGGCTGCTAGGAGAGGTTGCTGCTTCTTTACCAACTACTGCTGTAACCCCTATCTAGTCTTCCCTTCATAGAGTCTAGATTAAGATGTCCAATCATAGAACTGCGCCACCTCCTGACAGCATCCAACCCAGAGCAAAGCCAGCTTCTTTCAACCCTCCCCCAAATCCTGTAAGTCCTTCCTAACATTCTCTTAATGAGATGCCAAATGGTCCCAAGGTGTGCCTTCTCCCTCGCTGCAGTGAGGAATAAACCCAACTCGTCCAACTGGGAACAGGAGTGTTTACAGAGGTCTGTGACTGGAGACATGGACAGGTAATATCATTCTCCTTATATGGTCAATAAGGAAAGTGAAACTCATAGAGATTGAGAAATTTGCCCAAGACTACAAAGTAGTGAATGACAGAACCAGCTCTATCGATGTTCTCGTTTGTTTAACGATCCCTGCTGTTTGAGCACTCTGTGCCTTGATTTCCTCATCTGTAGTGACGCAGTTGGACTCTGCTCTCCAAAGGTTCCTCCAGCTCACATCTTCCCAGAGGCAAGGGGGTGGAAGCATTGTCAAAGGGGCTCCCCTTGGGAGTGCTGGGACCTCCCTTTGTCGGGGATCCACGAGCTTCTCAACAAGTCATTCCCACAGTGCCTTGCAGCTGGGAAGGTCTAATAACGAACTTGAAGAGTGATGCATCCTGGGAAATACCTCCAGGAGCCTTGGACCTCTGCCTACTACCTAATCCCTCCTCGCAGCCATCCTCTTTCCGTTGTTCATATTTCCACATTATCTCATTGCCACTCTCTTGTCCAGCCAGGGGACACAAGTCAGGAGGGTGACTGGGAGCTCTTACCCTACTGACCGTCCTCCTGTTCTTACACTTACCTCGCTCTTCCAAAGCAGAGAAGAGGCATCCTAGCAGTCGCTGCATAAATCGTAGGGAGCTGAAAAAAAGGGATTCCTTTCACTTCAAATCCTGAGAATCTGAAAGCTGCTGGAGGGGACTTAGCAAAATGTTGCACAAGAACCTAAAAGACACTTTGTGGGAGGGGGCACTTCCTTGAGTGCCATCTCCCAATCTCTGTGGAACTGTCTTAGGACAAAGACAGCAGACTTGATCAGTGGGTTTCCTGAGAGTAGAGTCCAGACCAGTGTAGAAAGGCAAGGCAAAGGTGAGGAGGACACTTATTGCTTCAATGGGAAAAAGAGTATTTGCATGATGGGAGCTGCCAGCTGGTACCTGCTGCCCAAGAGATAGTGAGCTCCCCGTAGGAGGAGGTACAAAGTTGAGCCTGGTTGACAAGCTGCCTTCTGTGAAATTCTAGGATTTAATGATTCAGAAGCCTTCCCCAATTTTTCTTCCAACACCAAATCCCTCCTCCATCCCAACATCTACACGACACTGTCACTCACCTCTGATGGGTCCGTTTCTTAGAGATGATAAGGCAGCTGGCTCACTCCCCAGGAGCTGTGACTAGCAGAAGGGAGCAGGAAACTCGAGCTCTGGAAGGAGAAGGGCTGGGGCTCTCAGGCAAATGAGGGGGGTCCCCATCTCTCCTGGGTAGCTCCTCTTTCTCTCCTCTCCACCCAGGGGACTCCCAGGTTCATGCGGATTCAGGGTTGGGTGGACTTTGAGGAACAAGTTGGGATCCGCTCATGATGCTCGACAGATACTTGGAAACCCATAACAGACTCCACTGCGGGAAATGGATGGAAGGACAATCTTTTTTCTCATCTCCATCTCTTTGGCATGGCCCAAAGCTCATGTTTTCTCTTTCCTTTCTGCCTGATTCTCCCTTTGAAGTATCCAACTCACCCTTCAAAATTCAGCTCAAACGTTGCCTCTTTTGGCAAGCCAGCCTGATCTCCTTAGGGGAGAGCCAGGGCCTCCATCTCGGCTCCCACAGTATGTGTGCTGCTGGAACTCTGTGCTTCTGGCTGCCACACTGGGCGGGGAATTCTTTGAGGGTAAAGACTGTCCTGGTCCACAGGGATCCTAAGTGGGGCAGTGGGGTACAAGAAGAAAATATCTAGAAGCTTCTGCTTATTTGCTAACTCGTTGTTGGTACAATCAAGCTGATTCCAGCTCCTAGAGACCAACCCCTATACAGCAGAGCAGAACCCTGTCCTATCTTTTTGCAGCATCCTCTCATCTTCCGGCGCTGTCAGACAATGCTCTGCTGCTGTTCAGAGGGCTTTTATGGCCAATTTTTTCAGACGGGAGAGGCCAGGTCCTTCTTCCTAGTCTGTCTCAGTCTGGAAGCTCCACTGAAACCTGACACCATGGGTGATCCTGCTGGTATTTGAAATACTGGTGGCCTAGCTTTCAGCATCACAGCAACATGCAGCCACCACAGTATGACAACCGACAGACGGATGGTATGGTTCCCTGACCGGGAATTGAACCTGGGCCGTGGCAGTGAGAGAACCCACTCTTAACCATTAGATCACCAGGGCTGGCTTATTTGTTTCTAGCCTATCCTTTATTAAAATATATATTATTGAATACTTGTAATCTACATAATAGTACAAAAGTGTGCATATAATTATAATGACAGATACGAGAGTTGCACATTCAAACTTTTTATTAATATGGGTGTGAGTGATCAGACAGATCTGGAGGCTACTGTTTTGGTCATTACTGTCTCCCTAATAACTATCACAAAACAGGTACTTAATACACGAGAGAATAAATGAATGAACGAACATGATGTTGCTTGGGTTTGGTCTATTATAATGGTCATGTTTGTTAGCTGGGTGACATTGGGCAAGATACTTCCCTTTCTTAGGCCCCAAATTACCTGTGAAGTAAGGAGGTTGGATCAGATTCCCTCCCAAATGCCTTCCAGGATTAATGTTTCTAGGTCTGAATCACTCATTCTCCAGGAGAGGACAGTATAATTTAGTCAATAAGAAACCTAGCGAATGTTTAAATTGCACTATTTACATGCCAGGCTCTCTGTTCTAAGGGCTCAGCATGTTCATTCATTTAACCTCTCAACAACCCCTTAGAGGGGGAAGACAGGCACAGAGAGGTTCAGTAACTTGTTCAAAGCCACATAAATAGTGTCCTACCCTCACCCCTGGGAGCAAACTCCTCCAGTACTGCTGGCTGACTTCCTGCATCTCTGCATCTGCATCTCTTTGCCAAGGGGCTTTCTTGGGAGGCGCACAAGAAAAGCCTGTACACAGAACAAGCCAGAAGTCCTCAACCAACGCAGGACAGGGAAATGGTGTGTAAACATCCCCTTGTCTCTTGGGGGAGATAATTGCAGGGAATCTGTTTTCCCACTTCCCCAGTCCCCTCTGGGATCAAGCACCAGTCTCAGTGAGAATGGGCTTAATAACTAAGTGTTTATTGTCTGCCTTTCCTGCCCTGTCTCACCTGCCTCCACCTTACCTAAGTTACTTGCCCTCTGCTTCGTAGGAACCCCAAACTAAGACAGACCCAAGCTTTGGACCCCTGCAGCCTTGCTGGAGAGGCTGGGCTCTTGACTTCCGCAATCTTCCTCCCTCCGAAGGACAAAGGCTCTCCATCAGTCAGATAAGCCCAAGTTCTGCCATTTATCTGTTATAATGGGTTGAACTGCGTCCCCCCCAGAAATGAAGTGTTGGAGTCCTAAGCTTCCAGAAAGTCGATGCCAGAAAGTCCACTGCTGCCACCCCCAAAGAACCCAGTGATGGTGGGTGGGGGATGAAGATGTGGATGCAGTGAGAATGAGGTCCAGGTTAGAGTTCTGGCTTCAAACCTGTCACCCTGTATCACCCAGTAGAGAGGAGTTGTGCTCATGCATGCACTCATTCCCCCAATGTTTATGAACCATCTCCTTCATGCTGGGGACTGTGTGAAGTTCTAGGCATAATGTGATGAGGAAAACACAGGCATACATTCTGAGGTTCCTCAGAATGGGACCTTATTTGGAAATAGGGTCTTTACAGAGGTGATCCAGTTAAGATGAGGTCATTAGCGTGGCCCTAATCCGGTATGACTGGTGTCCTCATAAAAAGGGGAAATTAGGTCACACACAGAAAGAACGCATGTGAAGATTGGACTTATGCTGCCACGAGCCAAGGAACTTCCAGAAGCTAGGAGACAGAGCTGGAACAGAGTCTTTCCCAGTGCCTTCAGAGGGAGCACGGCCCTGCTGACACCTTGATCCCAGGCTTCTAGCTTCCAAAACTGTGAGACAATAAGTATCGCTTGTTTAAGCCCCTCGGTTTGCAGTACTCCGTGACAGCAGCCCCAGGAAACTAATAGGGCTGCTATGTGACAACTCCAAGCCCCCATTTCCTCCCTGGCAGGATTCTTAGGATGAGTAAATGGAATAATGCATGCAAAACGCCAAGCGTGAAGCCTGGTGCATGGAAAGTGCTGACTAAATGGGTGTCGCCGTCGCTCTCACTGAACTAGCAAGGCTCCTTCCCCCGCCCCACACACAGCCCCAGGGCAGGTGCTCCCTGGACGAGTGGACATCTGAGACTCATGTTCCTACCTTCTTCCTTCAGAGTCCAGAGCCCTAAAATTTGACTTGGCCCCAAAAGTCAAAAAACCTTGATGCCCAGGTTTTTGTGAGCTCACAGTGGCCATCAAGAGGTAGCTGGCACTGTAATTGGTTTGCTTCCGAGACGTGGTAGGGCTCAGTGTGAAGGAAGGAAAAGGGGAGATGCCACTGCTCTGCAGAACAATGTGAAAGTCCACCATTGGGAGGGACTGTAGCAGTTAAGGTTCTTAGTTGCAAACAACAAATCCACTCTGGTTAGTTTAATTTGAAAGTGAGTTTATTTAAATCTAAGGCCAGAGAGTTTGCAACCACAGACAGGAAAATGTGCAACATCATTATGGGGAAAAGGGGCTTCTTTTTAGTGAAAATACCTGTCACTGATGGCAATCAGAACTTGATGCCAGGAAGTCCACTGCTGCCACCCCCAAAGAACCCAGTGATGGTGGGTGGGGGGTGAAGGTGAGGATGCAGTGAGAATGAAGTCCAGGTTAGAGTTCTGGCTTCAAACCTGTCACCCTGTATCACCCAGTAGAGAGGAGCTGTGCTCATGCATGCACTCATTCCCCCAATGTTTATGAACCATCTCCTTCATGCTGGGGACTGTGTGAAGTTCTAGGGATAATGTGATGAGAAAAACACAGGCATACAGTTCTGGCTCTCATGGTGCTTGGAGCCTACTGGATAAGACAGAGAAGGAACAAGTAGACCAGGGGGAGGAGGAAAGAGGCAGGGTTCTACTGAGGAGGGGTGGGTTGAGAAGGGATCAGACAAGGAGGCTGAACTACTTGGGAAGGCAGCCACAGCCCAGCCTTGCATGGGGCCTCCCCAGACTTCAGCATCTCAGGGCAGCACATGTGGCTTGATCTCTGCAATGAGAAAGGACCTTGTTGATTGCCATCACTGATGCCCCTGACCTGGACACTGTCCACCCTGACAGATCCTACAGCATCCCAGAAATGAACAACCACGGTCCTCTCCATGACCGGGGTGACCAACAGGAAGGAAGCCACACCCAGGGGGTTGGGGGGTGGGCTCAGGAGCCCTGCAGATACCCTCTGCAGGGTGGCTGCCTCAATGTTCCCATCTGAAAAAGGGGAGCAGGGCAGATGGCTCAGATTATCTCAAGGGACACTTCTACTGTGACCTTCTGCCAATCTGGCCCGTGGAGGACGGGCTCCATCTCTGGTCACAGCACACTGCTGCCACTTCCTCCTTGGAAGACAGCCCAGAGGAAAGACACTGCCCAAGCGTGAGGGGTATGGGCCACCCTGAACTCTACCTCTTTCCCCAGGCCTTCCCCTCCCTGCCCCGCCCCCCACCTTACCCTGGAGTGCAGCCCCCTCCCCACGGCAGGTTTTCAGGCACTCCTCCTTGCTGATGAAGTTATTCTTCTTCTGTCTACAGCCGCCATATGTAAAAGTCTCACATTGCGCCGAGGTGGCGTTGTAGAAGTACCTGCGTATCATGGCCCTGCAGCGACCCACATAGGGAGGCTCCAGGCAGAAGGCAGGAGGGACTGCGAGGATACAAGAGGGCTCTGGGTCAGTTATGAGGATGATCATCCCAGCTCGGTCTACACAGTGAACAGCCGAAAATCTAGCATGTCTCAAAATAAAGAAGGGTAGTAGGGGAGGTGGAGATGCGTGTAGAGCGCCCAGCCTGGATGTGGAAGCTCATACCCTTTGCCCAGACCTCGCCCTGTGCATCACTTCCTTCTGGCTGTTCCTGAGTTCTATCCTTTTATAACACAATAGTGATCTAGTAAGTAAAATGTTTCTCTGAGTTTTGTGAGCCATTCTAGCAAATTAATCAAGCTGAGGAGGAGGTCGTGGAAACCTCTGATCTAGAGCTGGTCAGCGACAATCTGGTCTTGGAATTGGCCTCAGACGTGGGGGGAGGAGGTGCAGTTTTGTGGGACTGAGTCCTTTAGCTATGGGATCTGACTGCTGTCTCCAGGTGGATAGTGTCAGAACTGAGTTCAACGGCAGGATGTCCAGTCAGTGTCCTCTGAGAACTGGAGAACTGCTCAGTGGTGTTAGAAAAAACAAACATACCAGAGAGGGAGTCTCAGAACTGTCTTTACACATCTTTACATCTTTCCACTAGTTACAATAAGCATATATTCCCTTTGGAATTAAAAAAAAGAAATATTTAAAATAGAATATATCACAAATTTTGCAATAAGTAAATAAGATTGTAGAAGAATATTAACTGACATTGGGAAATGGTTGCAGTATATTGTGGAATAAGCAAAACACTACATCCAGTGACATCTTAGCCTTATGAAGAATAAAACATGTGCCATGAGGATATGGACATCAATCCTTTTTAGCAGCCATTCCCTTCTTTCAAATGAAATCTTACCAAAAGAAAACTCCTCTAGGAGGCTAGGCTTCTTGTACGGTAGTGGAGCTCGGCGGGATGCAAGTCGGCGGCACTGGACCGCAGGTAGGGATCCACTTGTTGGTGACTGTGTTGTGGCTGCAACCCACATACAAAATAGAGGAAGATTGGCACAGGTGTTAGCTCAGGGCAAATCTTCCTCAGCAAAAAAAAACCAAAAAAACCCCAAGAAAGCTGTTCTGGTAGGTACCCAGGTGTGGGGTCCAGAGCCCCATCCTCAGCCCTCTCACTCCCCTCACTTCACCATTCTCCTACCTTAGTACACCCAAGGCTCAAGGAGCATCTTGTGCAAACCCCTGCACTACATGTTCTTTGAGGTGTTAGCAATGCAGCTCATTGGCTGTGTGATCTTAGGTAAGACAATTAACCACTCTGAGCCACGGCAGCCTCATCAGTGAAATGAGCATAATAATCTTAACCTCATAGATTTGTTGAGAGGATCACAAATGATGTCTATAAAGTAAGGAGCAATTAATCAAAAGCAAATAAATGTTAGTTCTTAGAACAGTTGTTAGATGGACTCATTAAATTCTAATTGAACGTTCCGTGTCAGTATCTGAGCTATAAACCACCTGTGGACAAAGTTGCCCAGAAAGAGCCCTTTAGCCTTCCCCCCACAGAAGCAGGGCAGCCAAGGCCCCCATGGCCGCCCTGGGGACCAGCACTGCCGGATCTTCCAACACAGGGACAAATCGATGCTTCTTTTTTTGAGCACCAGATTAAGTGAATGGCTTCCTTTTAAGGACTGGAGTGTATCAAAAACACATATTTTACTCCATGTAAAGTTTTAAAATGTGCACTTATCCGGGAATTGAAAAATTATTATTCTATATTTTAGATGTAAGTTGCCAAAACGTAAAATATCTTGACGAACATTTAAGAGAGGAACTTAAAATTCTCTGAATTATTCTATGTGTTTATTCAGCCACAGACTTCTTAACTCCTTCAATAAACTGTCGAGTAAATGGGACAAAAAAATCCTGCAAAACACAGGCTAAAAATATCACATAATTGCCCAGAAAACAGAAGGAAAACTCTCATTTAAGGGAAAAACTTTGCATTGATTTCTAATCAAGAGAGGTTTGGTTCCCCCCACTCCTGCCTCCCCCCAGTCTCTTCCACAGACTCACCTGCATTTTCTGCCCCAACCACCAGAAGAGAGCTGATCGAGGGCTTATGTTGGTGGTTACGGTGGTGGCAAGGGTGGTGGGTAAGGTGGTGGCAAGGCTGGTGCTGAGGGTGCTGGGTAGGGTGGTGGAGAGGTGGAGGGGTGTTTTTCCCCTGGGTTCCGGCCACCAGGATGCTCAGGAAGCCGAGAAGGGCGAAAAGGCAAAGCCGGTTCATCATGGTGGCCTTGAGGAAGGGCTTCTGAGGAAACCTGGGGCTGACAGAGCTTTTCATACCCCAGCTGAGGGGTGGGAACAGGTGACTGGGAGAGAAAGGGGAGGAGCTGGGATCAAAACTGTTCATTGCACAATCTCTCCCCACCTCCTCAGCCGAAACGCTCAGTAGTAGTGTTTCTCACACTTTATCACGCCTGCGAATAGGCTGGGGATCTCGCTGAAATGCACATTATGATTCAGCAGTCTGGGGTGAGGCCTGAAAAGCGGCATTTCTAACAGGCTCACTGTGACAGGTGCATCCCCAGGCCCAATCTCCTTTCCTATAAAATGGTCCACAGAACCACCCTTTGATCAGCCAGCCTGGAGGAAACCTCACCGGGGTGGAAGGAGAAGGGGAGCCGGCGGGGAGAAAAGCTGTCTTTCCCACACGCCTTGGGAAAGTGGCAGAGGAAACAAGACCAGGAAGAGGTGAATCTCGGAGAACCTCAGAATTCTCTCACATTAATCGGCCTCTCTGAACCTCTACCTTTACCTTACTTCTTTGGAATGGTTGCAACATCTACCATGTGACAAGTACAAGTCACTTCGGTTCTTTCGCAAAATGGAACAAGTGCCCCCAAACCCACATCCCGCAGAAGATGAAGTGATTAGGTAGATTTCAGGGCGATTGAGAAGATACCAACACACCTGCACCACACTTTGCAGTGCGCACAGGTTAGTGAGGCTCAGCATCGCAGTGGTCCCCACCCACCCGTTACAGAGACACCCTCCCGTCTGGACTTGACTGAACTGTCAGGACCCACTAACAATTGCAGGTACCCTTGGGAGAAGAATACCTTAATTCCTATCTCGTGCTGGAGACGATCTCAGCTGGGAGCGCGGGACACCACAGTGGTGCAGTTTTCACAGTCAGGAGGACATGGGCGTGGCAAATTACTCATGTTTCTGGGCCTCTGTGCCCTCATGTGTAAATCGGGCTGTTTATGAAATTCTTACACCATGGAGTCCTTATGATTCTTTTGTCCACCTTTTGCCTCGCCCTGGCCTGGGAAGATAATGCCAAGATTCACGCATCTCAGGCTGTTGCAAAGAAGGGGTCATCCAAACTACAGCCTACAACCAACTGTTGGATTTGCTCTGATGCTGGTGATCCTACAGTGCTTTCTGTCCGTCACAAACTTCTCCCTGATTTCCAGTGCCTCAGCTTCTCTGAAACAATCTTGCTGGATAAACACTTCTGAGGAAGTGGAGACACAGTTACATGGAATACATAAACAGACAGACTGGCTCAAAGAACTACCCCCCTCTTCGGGATCATTTCTGGACTTATTCGATTGTAGCTGGTTTGGATCGTGGGGACCCTGGCTCAGGGGTGCTCTTCAAACCTCTGTCATTATTTTGTTGCTAATGATTGTCTCCTTAATATGCTGCGTTCTCTCAAAAGCTTTAAATGTATATGGGCATCCATTGACCAACTACGGTTCTCTCCAACTGGAACGACAAAGGAGAACAGAAGAATGTAACCCAATTCAAGAACATGAGGCTGACATTGTCTCTTGCGAATACTACACTGAGACCTGAAGAGGCAATGGTAACCCAGAGTCACGCAAAGACCGATATTTTTTTGAGGAAGATTAGCCCTGAGCTAACTGCTGCCAATCCTCCTCTTTTTGCTGAGGAAGACTGACCCTGAGCTAACCTCCGTGCCCATCTTCCTCTACTTTATACGTGGGACGCCTACCACAGAATGGCGTGCCAAGCACTGCCATGTCCGCACCCGGGATCCGAACCAGCAAACCCCAGGCTGCTGAAGCAGAAGGAGCGAACTTAACCGCTGCGCCACGAGGCCGGCCCCAAGACTGATATTTTTGATCGAGCCTCTTGAATAGTCAAGAGGACGATCAAAAGGGGGGAGACTGTTAAAATAATTTTCTAGACCCAAGATGGAGCCACTCCTGCCTGGGGTGCCTAGTCAGCAAACCAAACCTTAGATAAATGCTCTGCTTGACCGGAAATGCAGCATATCCAGTCAGCCAATCCCCAAATGCCAAGCCAACTCAGGGATCTATACTTATTTCCTGTTCCTTACTCATTTTCTATTTTTCTTTTCCTTTTTTCTTATTCTTTATCCTGTAGAAGCTTCCTGCCTTAAACCCCACTCTGCTGTTCCCTGGACCCTTGGGAATGGAGACTGCCCATTTCATGAAGTGTCAAGTTTGTGTCACCTAAATTTTCTTTAATCATTTTTAACATGATAAATGCCTGCTTTCTGGGGTTTGGGGCTTCACTGACTGAGGTCAGTCATGCATGCAGTATATGCCATAGTAAAAACTCAAGACACCCAGGGTCCCCTGGTTGGCAACACTTTGCACCAGTTGGGCTGAGGAATTAACCACGTCCTGCATGACTCAAACGGAAGGAGATGTTTGGAAACTTGGGCCTAGTTTTCCTGTATTTCATCCCCAATACTTTTCCCTTTGTGGATTTTACTCTGCGTGGATTTGCTGTAAACTTTATAACCACTTCTGAGTCTTGCGAATCCTTTTGGCACAGTGAACGTCAGGGATTCCAAACACAAGTCGTTTCCCTGGTTATCTCCATTTATTATCCATTGTTATCATTGTCCAATGTTATCTCCAAATAGAAACTATAGTCCAGTCCATAGAAGTTAAGTAACTTGCCCGCAGTCACACAGATAACAAGTGGCAAAGCTGGTATTGAAATTTGTCCATCTCCAGCAGCTGTGCTTTTAACAACCACTGCAGGACAAGTGAAGATAATCTAACATAACTGATGTCTCTTACATAGAAAACTCAACAATTTTAACAGAAAATTGCTTCAAAGAGGTTATATAAAAAATTTCCCTAAAAACAAAATCTGTAGAAGAAAAAATACCCAGGCTCTACAAATGTCCCGGAATTTGTCTTTAAATGGGATAGAAATTTTGAAAAATACAAGGAACTTTCTAAAAGGTCTTTAACAAGCTACCGTGGGCGCTCAACTCAAAAACAGAAGTTCATGTACTAAAATCGATGTTTCAGTGCAGCTTCCAAAATCTTGCCAAATACAGCCATTTGGAAGGACGAGCCAGATCTGAAGTTTCATTCCTTGTGTATCTGCATTAGGCGTGCATGCGTCATCTCAGTTGTCGTAACGGTCTCTGTGATTTCCTCCTGAGTAGCAGTCATAACCACCCTGACTTCTGCCACCATAGTCTCCTGACCTTCCATATCCGTATCCATATCCTCCAGGTCAACTGTCATACCTGCCACTCCCATAGCCCTGGTCCCCACCACCTCTAGAGTAGCTGCGACGACACCCATGAGCCCCTAGGCATCCCTTCCGGTCCCCTGGAGCCAACTTGCCTGCGTGGTCCCCACGGATCTGGCAACCATCCAGAGACTCTCCGTTCAGGGCTCTCATGGCGTCTGAGGCCCACTCTGGATTGGTGAAGGTGATGAAGCCGAAACGCTGGGACTGCTGAGTCGCCTGGTCCTCGGCAATGACCACCTCAGAAAGAGGCCCGGAGCTGCTGAAGAGGTCTCCCAGAGGCCACTCATCGATGTGGAAGTTGAACCGTCCCGCCAAGAGCTTCCCCTCTTCAGAGGACATGGCAGTGAATTTGAGTCCCAGATTAAGGAGTAAAGGGGACGAAAGGACAGCTACCCAGAGGAACAGAGAGGCTGGGGCTTTTTAGTTTGAACTCTCAGGAGTATTAGTCTGGCAAAAAATGTTCAGCCAGACTGATCTTTAAAAAAATAATGTGCATCTGGGGACATTTTGAAAACCTGTACACAATGTTTATCATGGTTAGGAAGCAATTTCTGAATGTAACTAAGAAATCAAGAACATGATTCCTTAGAAGTGTTTTTTAGTCAAGATCACCACCCTGATGATATAGAAGTTTCTTAAAAATATTTGTGAAAGCCATTTTTTTTTAATACTAGAAGAAAAAATATTCTGCTGTGTCTCATGTAGTATTTAGGATGTCCTTCACGGAGCTGACCAAAAAGAGGAAACCTGAAAAAAAAATCTGTAGATTGAAAAAAGCACCCCATGTTCCAGTTTAAAAAAAATGATGCAGAGGGGCTGGCCCAGTGGTGCAGCAGTTAAGTGCGCACGTTCCACTTTGGTGGCCCAGGGTTCACCGGTTCGGATCCCGGGTGTGGACATGGCACCGCTTGGCAAGCCATGCTGTGGTAGGCGTCCCACATACAAAGTAGAGGAAGATGGGCACGGATGTTAGCTCAGGGCCTGTCTTCCTCAGCAAAAAGAGGAGGATTGGCAGCAGATGTTAGCTCAGGGCTAATCTTCCTCAAAAAAAAAAAAAAAAGATGCAGAGGATGATACCAAAATATCCTCGTTAAGATACTAAAGCTCAAAGATGAGCAAAGATGTCCTTCAGATAGGAAAGAAAGTAACCTTTATGGGATGAAACCTTTCAGGCCACTTCATAGCCACACTCCATGGCGGAATTCAGTAAAGCCAGGTTCACAATTGTTCTAGAAAAGAAAGTACGATTCAGGATTTTTCACATGATCTAATTGTCCTTCAAGTATAAAGGCAATATGCAAAACTTCAGGGAAAAATTCAGGAAAATTTGTTGTTGTAGAATTGTTTTTGTTTATCTACCTAACAAAATGTTAATGAGGTTAACCTGAACTTATTGTTAGTTACTACACGTGGTGGAAGTTCACTGTCCCATATGGTGGGCACAAGCCACATGTGGCCATTGAGCACACGAAATATGGCTGGTATGAATCATGATGTGCTGTAAGTGTGAAATATATGCCAGATTTCAGACTTAGCACAAAGAAAAGCAAAATATCACGTTAATATTTTTTATTACATGTTGATTATATGTTAAAATGATAATATTTTGGATATATTGAGTTAAACTATTATTAAAATTAGTTTGACCTCTTTCTCTTTAAAATGTAGCTACCAGAAAAATTCTGTTTGTGGCTTGCATGGTATTTCTGTTGCACAGCACTATGACAGAACTGGGAGAAAGATTTTGCTTCTTGTTTGTACTATTCAGTATAGCTTGATCTTTTTAAAATAAGCATGATAATTTATATAAGACAATCAACTCATTATTCCAAAATTAACAAAGAGCTATGTTTTCTCTCCTGGGATGTTAAAATGAACCA